AAAAAGAGAAATTTTAAAATTGTCTGGGATGAGCAACTAGTTCACCGAATTGACCATGTTAGTCGGATTTTACCAGATTTTTCTCCTACCGATTGGATCCGGTTTGATTTTAAGAACATACTTATGATATTGAAGATTCTCCCCTAATTCAATGATTTCTATTAAAAAAAATAAGAACCTAAAAATGAAATATTTTAGAAGGTTTTAATTATGATTATCTTTAAATTTGTTAAGATTATTATAATTGTTAAATTTTTATTCTAATTTGATTATTAAAAACAATTGATAACTAATAAAATGGTTAATATTTGTTATTTAACAAATTAATATCTATTTATAAATAATTATTAACAAATATTATAATCAACTATTTAAGAAAAGATTATAAATTAAGAAAATTATAATTAAAACATGTAAACTTAACAAAATTATGGGTGATAACAATCCTAACCTTTTAGAGTCATGTAGGCAATAATCTCACCCAAAAATTAAATCTTGCATTTTTATGAGTCAAGCCAATTAGTTAAAACCTTTATAAGGGAGAGGGTGAAGAGGAGAACAAGAGTTTAAAATTTGGTTATACATAAAAGAAAGTTTTTTTTTACTATTAATTAAATTAATTACTCTACAACCCATACTTATTTTATATGCTTAAAAAATAATACAATCAATCATCAAATATATGCTAACAAATCAATGAAGCTCTTAGAACCTATTTTATTGATTGTTCATAAAAAGAGAATCTCTCTTATTCATTTATTATTGTTTCCATCTTTAAAAAAAAAAATCACTTATTATTTCAATACACAAACTTGCAAAATGAAACGATCGATCAATGAATCCCAAAGCGAAATCACTTAAACTAGGGATTCAAGGAATACCCTTCTTATAAAGAAAATAAAAAAGAAAAAAGAAAAATGAAACCAAGCAGAAAACGGGCCAAAAAAATCAAGCCCAAAAGATTTGGTGCCCCAACTGTTATGGCAACTATGGCCTTGGCCATAGCAATAAAAGTCCTTTAATTATTTTCTCTTCTTTTCCTTATTCCTTCAATTTAATCAATTATGTAGGGGGGAAATGGTTGTTTTCCTGTCTAAATATCTTTCTATTTTCATGCTAAGATATAAATGCTTAACCTATGGGAGTTTTAAAAAAAGGGAAGAAAGTTTAGAGTGAAGTTAACTCCATTTTCAGCCATAATTAGAGTCCTATATGGTGCAATCATCTAAATACTCTAGACTCCACAATCCATCTTTGAGAAATGTGTGTTTTGGTCATTGGAGTAATATTAAAGATCATGTATAAGCTTAGCCACAAAAAGTCTAACTTTTGAATACTCTTATATACATTTTTCAATCATATAAATCCTGTAAAACATAATTGAGAAATACATGTCTCAAATATTATGACAAAATATTTAAGGTTCTAAATGTAAAACATTCACATAAATCAATTGTAAATGAAGCAACGGAGTTTCACGTTGCAAAATCTAGCCTGTTTTTGCCCTATTTGGGTCTTAAAGCCACCCAAGAAATGATATCTTCCATGCCCGCATTGCTTGCTTAACCATCACCCTCTACCTAAGTTTCTTACCATTATCTCTATCAATTTCTTTGAGCCAGGTGCAATAACATAGCTAGTTAGGTTCTCAATTCTCATCAACGTGTGTCTATCGTTTGTTGAATACTAATTACATATTGATGCAACATTAAGAATTTCCATTGAAATGAGTTAAAAAGATATTGAGAACATTAAAACTGAATACCTTTTTTGTCACTATGAGAAAATCACTTTCGACTGATTTAATATGAAGGGGTTTTGGTGCAAATTACATCGCAAAATTCATAATTATAATCATAGTCACAACTAAGGGAACAGGGATGAAACTCAATGTCAAGCCACAAGTATGTTTCAAGCAAGTGGTTTCTTCTAGGAGTGAAGGAGAGAGCAGTGCTACTTGGATATCTTAATTTACCTGTTTGGGTGTTTTCATTTTGTAAATGGTTGATAGTTTTTGTTGTGATATCATAAAAGTAGATCAAAGGAATTTTAAGGTAAATTCAATATCTATATCAGACCATCTAATGCTTTCCACCTTATTTGATGTTCACACTTTTCTTTTTATTTCAAGCCTATTAACATTATTTCCTTTAAGTTGGATCAATATCGAATTGTAAAACACCAACTATCAAATTAAAAGGGGCTACCTTGCCTCTAAAATTAGGAATTTATGTTGATCTATATAATTAGTGTTTTGTACACCAATATAGTTTAAAATGCAAAACACTTTTTCAATTTTTTTATAAATAATATATAAATAACAAAACAATTGTGTGGTTTGAATTCATCACTTAAACTATTGTAAAATATTTAAAAAATCACTTATTATTCCAACACACGACCTTGCAAATTGAAACCATGGATTAATGAATCCCAAAGGGAAAATATTTAAACTTGGGATAAAAGCTAACATTTAGGCTACCACAAGAAGGTAGCATCAACATTCTCATCATTGCAATACAAGTAAGGATGCTACTCGAACCATTATGCCTGTAAAACCTTCTTAGCCATCATCACAACTTCCTTGTTGCTCAATGGACCCAAGTTCTCCTTCAGCACCATCGGCACCGCATTGCTAAATGCTCCAGATGCCTTCCCTCCGCCCTCACTCTCACTCACGTCTACAAACATCTCATTTGCCTGGAACCCACTTAGCAAAATGCTTTCATCCAGTTTAGAGGACATGGAATCCAATTTGTCCTAGGGAAGATGGAATTTGAGGCTAGCATTAGCACCAAAGGTCAACTTTATGCGTACAAGAGTACACATGGCTATATAACCAATTAAATAAACACCACGATCCAATCTTCACACATTTAATTTCCTATAATCCGAAGGCAATCTAAAGAAATTTTAGCCCGCTTTTGTAGGTATGATCTCTTATTTGTTTCACAAATCCAAAGCAACTAAACTAGCTCAATTCAACCTCAGGATTAGAGGTTCTAATTCCCGGTTTCTCTAATCACTACAATCGACTTAAAAGAATCCAATGCATATAAAAATTATCATAATGGTTAAGGAGATTCCACCCTTGGGCATTTGAAGACAATAAGAACCAAAAGCACATATTTTGAATAAAATCATAGCATATACATACAGGAAGGACATTGAGGCATTGAAGAATTGGCCACACAAATTTTATACATACAAGTTAGAGGCATAGAGACAGATATGAACCTTTAACACCAGAATTAAGCACAAGAGTTATGGGATTAAGTAACCACCCACACTTGTCCTTGGTAATGGAATAAGGGAACCCAACTTTGAATCTAGCAAGATTAGCCTTACGATCATCGTCTTGGCTCCATTTCTCATGGTTTCTCAGGAAACCATGAGAAGGAGAAGATGGCTGCAATTTGAGGAAAAGCAATGTCAACAAAAGAAGCCTTAAGAGTAAGAAAGGGAAGGCTTGGGGCTTCTTCAAGAAATGGGTAAAAGATGAGAGTGAAGACGTGGTTTGAGTCTGAAATGGGTTCTCGTTGGAGTATGAATTTCTTCTAAGGTTTGCCATTATCTGCTTGCATTCGCATTCTTGCTAGTCTTGCGAGCTCTGCTTTGATATTCCATGTCTAACACCTGCCTATTTTTGGAATTACATTCTTTTATTTTCCTTTATATTTATTACTTCTATTTATTGGAAATTAAGAAAGTAAATTGGGTAATGAATTGTCTATTAATTTATTTTGTTTTCAAACAAGGACAAAGAAAATGTGGGGATTTTGAGAGCTAGGTGTTTAAAATATGACCTTATTTGTTACTTACATTTATTGGAAATTAAGAAAGTAAATTAGGTAATAAATTGTCTATTAATTTATTTTGTTTTCAAACAAGGACAAAGATAGTGTAGGGATGTTGAGAGCTATGTGTTTAAAATATGTTTACAAACTTTAAATGGATAAGTCTCAGGAGTCTCAAGTGGTAATGAGTTTGAAACTTTAAATTAGAGATTTTATATTTGAATCACTAAAGCAAATAAAGAGAGTTTGTGGGAAAAGAATGATTATTTCTTATCATATAGCTCAATCATCTAATGTACCAATAAAAACTTTTAAATAGATAGAAGTTGAATGTCCTAGAATATTACTTTAAGGGTATAATTTTGATTTTTTTTATCTAAAATGCTATAATTATAATGTTACGTAATATTATAAATTTACAATATGATATATCATTGTATAATTAATTCTTTTCATGCAAAAGTTCATTTGTGATATTATTTGTATTTATTTGTTTAATATTATGTTATACCCGTTTAATATTATATTACAATTATAAATTTATAATTTTATATAATATTATAATTATAACATTATCATAT